GACATCCAGACGGCCAACAGACACATGGAAAAATGCTCAACATCACTCATCATCAGAGATACAAATCAAAACCACAATGAGATACCACGTCATGCCAGTCAGAGTGGCTAACATTAATAACACAGGCAACAACAGATGTTGGCGAGGATACGGAAAAAAAGGATCTCTTTCACACTGCTAGTGGGAATGCCAACTGGTGCAGCCACTCCGGACAACAGTATGGAGGTTCCTCAAAAAATTAAAAATAGAAATACTCTACAACCCAGCAATTGCCACTACTAAGTATTTATCCAAGGGATACAGGTATGCTGTTTCAAAGGGGCACATGCACCTCAATGTTTACAGCAGCACTATCAACAATAGCCAAAGTACGGAAAGAGCCCAAACATTTATCGATGGATGAATGGATAAAGAAGCTGTGGTACATATATACAATGGAGTATTACTCAGCAATCAAAAATAATGAAATCTTGCCATTTGCAACTATGTGGATGGAACTAGAGGGTATTAGGCTAAGCAAAATTAGTCAGAGAAAGACAAATATCATATAACTTCACTCATATGAGGATTTTAAGATACAAAACAGATAAACATAAGGGAAGAGAAGCAAAAATAATATAAAAACAGGGAGGGGGTCAAAACATAAGAGACTTTTAAATATGGAGAACAAACGGAGCGTTACTGGAGGGATTGTCGGGGGGAGATGGGCTAAATGTTAGTAAGGGACATTAAGGAATCTGCTCCTGAAATCATTGTTGCACTACATGCTAACTAACTTGGATGTAAATTTAAAAAAAAAAAAAATTAAAAAAAAAAAGAAAATCTAAAAGAAAAAAAAAAAACCCTCCCAACTTCCTGCTTCTCCATAAACCAGCCTTCTGTTCCTCTCCTTTGTTTGTTAGACTTGCCTATAACTTGACCATAGCTTGCATGTCTGGAACTTCAAGTCTCTGCTATCCCCAAATAAACCCATTCTCACTGGTAAAATGACCGCTTTAAAATTAATGCTTAACAAAACTAATAGAAAATCCTCAACTATATACAAAAATGGAATAGTATAATCATCACCCAGCTTCAACAATTCCAAATTATGGTCAATATTGTTTTATCTACTCTCATAGCCCATTCCCTTCCCCTTGCCCCAAACTATTTTGAAGCAGATCCAAGATGTCCTATCATTTCACTATAAATATGACTTTTAATAACAGTTCTTAAATTAGATCTCATAGCAGCAATAAAAAGAAAATTATTAGTCTGGTCTAACACAGGATGGGTGGTTACCTATTTACTTCTTAAAACTTCTACCAGGAGCAGAAAGGGGTTGTAAAATGGTAAAAGAATATAAACTCAAGTACAATACACAGTTCACTCCTAAGTTAATATGAACCTATTTCTTAAAAAAAAAGCTATTGATTTTAAATACTAATTAAAATGGGCAAATTAATCTATAATAACCTCAATTCTTATTATTCAAATAACTCAGACACAGCACCACTACAGCCCAGTCCTGCAGAATAGAAAATAGTATCCAACATTTAATGCATTTAAGATTTTCTGAATCCCAAATAGAGGTTGTTTTTTAATGTCTTAATTAATATGTTGGTTTCTGCACGTGCTTCATAACCTGTATATATGCTTACAGGTGCCTTTTAAACTTTTTTATACTTACATCCCAATTACTCAGGGCAACTAATTCAAAGCCAAAGCAATGAGAAATGTTAAAGACAGAGTGGAAAAAGTCTTTAATTTAGATAATTGGATCACCTGAGAAAATAATTCAGCTAAACTCCATTAACTGCAGAAGATAAAATATCTTTAAAAGGGGGGAGGGATAGAAGGGGAAGACCTTACGTGTTCTGTCTTTAAGTGGTTTAGTACTTCAAAAATCAAACCCAAATTTAAGTAGAAATAGAATAACACATTTAATATGCTAAGTCAAGTTCATTTTGTACTTTCTCCTTGCTCTGCAATAATGTATAGGGAAAAGTTTCAATTTCATTTATATGTATAATTCTAAATTTCATAGTTGGGCTCCTGGAGGAAGCACCATTTCAAAATATCACTGTAATTAATGCAAGTGCTAAATTTGGGGGGGTGAATTTATCAGACTGCATAGTATTTAAAAAGTTTTAACATTGCTTATGTTTTGTTTCTTTAAAAAAACTATTATAATTTATAGATTTAGGAAATTTCCAAACACATCAAAATATGAAAATATACACTACCTCACAAGTGTTACAATAGCAATTAGTAACAAGTAAAAGGGCAGGTCCAAGGCAGAAATGGGAAAGAGAAAATAACCTGGACACCCCTAGCCTTCCCAGGTATATCCTGTTTCTCTCTTGGTGGTTTACCCATTGTGAGTGGCACTCTTTCCCTCAGGCACCCAGGGACCTTGTGTTCCCCTTTTAAAATGTGCTCTAAAACAAATGTGAAATTCATATGCACCGAAGTAAAACATGACTAATAACTTGGAACTATTATTCTTGTGGGGTTATTTGTATCTTTAGTCTTAAACTTCAAGAGATAGAATGGAATTCCTAGCACTGGCTAGCAGGTGTCACTGCCAGATCCACTGAGCTCATCCTTCAGAAACTGTTCACTTTATCTTTTAGAAACTAACACAAGGAAGAGAAATGAGCTCCAGCTAGCCTTGATCAGTTTGGGCTCAACCACCAAGCCAACACCTGCACAGGTGTCTGATAGTTACCTCTGCCTCATTATAAGGTTAAGATCTTTGCTCAAAAAGGGGCCCAAGCTTCATAACATAACACACAATGCACATATAGGCATATTTTCTAAGTACACACATGTAACCTTATACCCAGCTCTATTTGCAATGATAGGTCCCCTTATGAATATTCATCCTAAACCTTAAATAAAAAGAACCTGCTCACCCCTGCTCAGGGATCACAGCTTTGGAAATTATTCCCTGTGATCTCCTTATCTACTGCAAATAAAGATTATTTTGTGTGACAGCTCCACCTGGTGTAGTCTCTACCCATAACTTACCAAGGAGCAAACTCACGTTAGTTCACCTACACAGGCAGGAGTGATTTCATCAGTGCCTTTGAGATCTCGTGTTAAATACAGTCACATTCAGTCTAGCATAAGGTCAGCATGGAAGACATGAGAACACACACAGTAAACCTACCAGTTAGAGTTTCAACAGTAAGATTTTAATTTATAGTTCAATTCTTTTCAGCAGGGACATTCTCAACAATAAAACTACCTCCAAACTGGAAAGGGTATTAACTCTTCTCAATAATGCTACATCCTGTCTTTTATCAGCAAAAATCACTTAGGGAAAAAACACAAATGTGAGACAAGGTCAGTGCTTTAGAGCCAAAAAGATTCTACAGTAAACTGGGAAAGGGCTTTACCAGAAAAGAGGTCTAAAGAGCTGGCTTTGCAGAGGAGGCTGGGAAGACACTTCATCCCACAAATAATACTAGATTAATAGTCACATTAGTGTAAATAACCCAGAAAAAGACCTGAAGATTGGTAAAAAGCTGGCTTTGTTATTCCTGATATTTTCTTAAAACCTATTAAAAATTCTACTTTCAGGGGCGCCTGGGTGGCTTAGTCAGTTAAGCGTCTGACCTTCCGACTTTCACTTAGGTCATGATCTCGCGGTTTGTGGGTTTGAGCCCCGCGTCGGGCTCTGTGCTAACTGCCAGCTCGGAGCCTGGAGCCTGTTTCAGTCTGTGACTCCCTCTCTCTCTGACCCTCCTCTGCTCACGCTCTCTCTCTCTCCTAGAAATAAATTAAAAAAAAAAACATTAAAAAAAAAAAAATTCTACTTTCAGTAACAAAAACAATGCAAACTGAATGTTTCCCTAAATGTACCTGGTATTCTCTGAATATAATTCATTCAGAAGCACTATAAAGAAAGATAAAAGTACGTGAAGGAAATCATGTATAGCAGTCTGTATCCAATCAGAAGTTCTTAAATTCCCTCTATCTTAATTTTAAAAATCTGAATTCAGTCAAGCAAATCATTTTCTGAAATTCAACCACTGGAATTATGCTGAAAATAGAGAATTCTGCTAATGCACTTTCATCAAAATGTTACATTTTTATCTTCAGACTTAAAACTTTGAAAAAAAACTGAACTGTAACAAAGCTAACCTAAAAACTGCTTTTGAATTGTAACTAACAATCTGGCATGTAAGTGACATAATTAAAAGTCACAGAAAGGCTAAGATGTCTCTGCACACTGTAGCAAACACCACAGACTACCAAAAAGCCTTTCACATCTCCCTTCTCTTCTTGCCTTTTCTCTCCTACAAATCTTAGGGAAAAAAAGTACATACTTGATTTCAAATACCTGCAGTTAGGGATGGCCTTGCCAACACAGTTCTGGCCAAAAAGGGCTGTCCTTTACACTATAAAGGTAAAGACTTGCTAGGACAAAGCCCCTTTGCATCTTTCTCCTTTTTCCTCCCTGAATGTAGATGGATAGTCCAGAGATGTTATAGCCCCTTAACCATAAGACAATAAACATGAACACAAAGACCTACACAGCAGACCACGTGGAGAGGAAAAAGGAATCAGGATCCCTGAGTCAAGTAAATCAGGTCTAGACTGCCCAACTCTGGATTTCTTATTGCATTAGATACATAAAAGCTATCAGATTAAGCTGTTAGAATAGGGTTTTCTATAGTGCAGTTGAATGTACTTTAGTGGATACAAATACAAATTTCTTATGTAAAAAATCAAATTAAGAGGTATGAAGAAAATCCTCACCAACTCCTCAATTTAAAAGGAACCTCAATGATAAGCTTGTATTTTTGTTTTCTTTACCTGAAGAGGGCAAATAAACAAAAACCCATACATAAAAAGGAGGTGGGGATTTTATGGCAGAGGAAACTCCAGATTCCAATGCCAAATGAAAGTGAGGTAAGACTGGGGCAGGGAGAAGGGCATGAGTGTAATACCAGACAATTAGGGTCCAACAGACTTTACCTAACATTGCCTATATATCAATTTCAATTGTCGGTGAAGAAAATAAAGTTCATTTATTGGGCAGAGGAAACTCCAATTCAGTTATTAAGTCTGAACCTTCAAACTTGGGAAGCTTTCCTCCAGGTCATCAGCAAGAGTTTTATCAACTTCATGTAGAATTTTGAGAAAGTCTTCTATCTGTGAGTCAAAGAAAATAACCAAATAAATGTAAGTAGAAGAAAAGGTGGCTTAAGGTACTGATTGCTGACTATAAAAATGTTCTACCTGTGGTTTCTTAATAATCCAAAGGAAGAAAAATGTTGACAGATTCCCCAGATGACAATAATGACTATTATAGTCATTCCCAGACAGCCCTCTGAAACATCAAAGAAGTGACTACCTCATACTATTTTGTTTTATTCTTGAAATTAGTATTTATACTCCCAATGCTTCCCCTTTACAGCCCACTACTGAAGTTTTATTATCATCTTCGTTGCTAACATAGCCTCTCCTTCCCACATTTCATACTTCATTTTCCTAAAAAAATTCCTATTTTTAAATTGCTTCTAATGGTAGCAAATGTGATGTAATTTGAAGAACGATAAGAACCTATTGACCATTCCCACCTAAGAATCTTATCTCTAACTAATACATATGCTTACTTTGTAATAGTAAGGAGTCCAATAAATTCAGTGCTGACTTCATTCTCTTAAAATTAGAATAGCCATTCAGGCTAATCCCACAAATTACCCAGCAGTCATTTATCTGACAAGGGCACTAAGTCATGTGAATTTTGCATGCACGATCTTTTTTGACAATGGTCTCAGAGATCAAACACTTACATAGAAACATTTAGTAATCCTCTAAAACTCAGCCACCTATATATTTATTCACACTCACCACAGGACTATAAAAAGGAAGAAGGTTTTGAAATGCACAGCAACACTTCTGTTTGCTTAACTGGCCCTCCTTCACCCCCTGAGCCACAGTCTCCTAAAACAAACAAAAAAAGATTTAATGTTAAAAAAAGGAAAACTTCTTAAAAATTTTTTTAGTGTTTATTTATTTTTGAGAGAGAGAGAACTCGGGGGGGGGGGGCGGGGTGGAGATGGGCAGAGAGAGAGGGAGACACAGAACTCGAAGCAGGCTCCAGGCTCTGAGCTGTCAGCACAGTGCCAGACGGGCAGTTTGAACTCAGGAACCGTGAGATCATGACCTGAACCAAAGTCAGACGCTTAAACAGACTGAGCCACTTAGGCGCCCGAGAAGACAAAAACTTTTAAAGCTTTACCTGATTAATAAATATAAATCAGGGGACCCTGGGAGGCTCAGTCGGTTAAGCATCAGACTTCAGCTCAGGTCATGATCAGACGGTTTGTGGATTCGAGCCCTGCATCAGGCTCTGTGCTGACAGCTAGCTCAGAGCCTGGAGTTTGCTTCGGATTCTGTGTCTCCCTCTCTCTGCCCCTCCCCCACTCATGCTCTGTTTCTCTCTTTCTCTCAATAAATAAACATAAATAAATAGATAGATATCAGTATATATAATTCCCTACTGATCCTATGAGCATTTCAAATATCCCAAACTGAGCCCAGCATCATCCCCCCTGATGTAAACCCAAACACTGTTTCACTATAATCCTATTTTAGGGAAGGAGACCACCACCCACTCACCCTGCTGCACAAAGTAGTAACCTGGGATACAGCCAAGATTTTTCCTTCTCCTCCTTACTGACCCATCCACCTGAGTTTAATTCTACTCTACCACACCTCTCTCATCCCACCCTTTCTCCTCTATCCACACTTCCACTGTTTAGGCTCTCATTATTTTTCAAATCACTCTTGAAGATTACTACCCACAAGAGCCTATTGGTCTGTACGCCTCCAGCCTCAGCTCTCTCTAATCCTCTAATCCTCTCTCTTGCTTTTGGAGTAATCTTTCTAATAAACAGGTCATATTACTTGATCCTTAAAACAAATCTTCAGTAGCTCCTCAGTTTCCTCAAGATTAAATCTATTATGGTACATAAGAATTTTCATCACATATCCCTGGTTTATTCTCAGTCCACCTTCCTTCTACATTCCTACCACTTAAAAAATAGACATCCCTCTAAAAACAAAATCACACAAAAGTGACAGTAAACAATGGGGAAAATACTTGCAATAAATATGCAAAACATATATTATTGCCCAAGTAGTTCATGTAAATAATCAAAATAGATAAATCTACAAGGAAGGAAACACAAATAATACACAAATACATGGAAAGATGTTCAACCTAACAGAAAAATCAAAATCAAAATAAGGCATAATTTCTCACCCACTGAACTTTACTTAATATAAAAATTATAATACCCAACAATAAGAATCATGTAAACCCAGCATTTTCAACAAAAGCATTTGGCAGTATGTAGCTGGTAAGCCTCAGTCATTTTCACTTTAATAATGCTGAGCCTAGTAATCTGACTTCTGAAAAGCTATGCCAAACTAATAACCCAAATCTGGAAAAGGAAGCAGGGGGGTTGACCAAATAAACCAAATTACCAGAATAACAGAAGTGTCTTTTAAGAAATATTCTTCTTAAAAAATTCAATGAGGGGCACCTGGGTGGCTCAGTTGGTTGAGCGTCCGACTTTGGCTCAGGTCATGATCTCACAGTTCGTGGGTTCGAGCCCCGCATCGGGCTCTGTGCTGACAGCTAGCTTAGAGTGTGGAGCCTGCTTCAGATTCTGTATCTCTCTCTCTCTTTGACCCTCCTCTGCTCATGCTGTCTCTCTCTCTCTCAGAAATAAATTTTTTAAAAAATTTAAAAAATATAAAAAACTCAATGAATATGAATATATTCTTCATGGTTATATTTATATTTTTTCTAAAATACATGGATGGAAAGTATGCCCAAAGGAAGAATATGCTAACAATCCAGAGCATATTCAGGAAGAATATTCCTTAAAACAAGTTTGCAGTAGATTTTGAAAAGTGACTTTTTGGCAAACTGGGTATTAAATAAATTGGCTCTTGGTGAAATGTCTGTCATTTAGAGTCTGGAAAAGGGCTCCCAGTGCTCACTTTGGCAGCACATATACTAAAATTGGAAACAGCTCATAAAATATTATTTAATGTAAATAGCAGTCTATAAAAATTCTACATACAGGGTTAAAAGCATGTGAAAAACACATATATAAATATACCAAACTACATCAGTTGCTAGGTTACAATTATAAACTTATACTGATTTTTCTTTCTCTGTTTTCCCAAATTTATGTAATATAATTATACTACCTTTATATTAAAAAAAAAATACAGTAATAATAAAGTTTGGATCATTAAGCAATCCATACTTTCTTTTGCTGATGAACCATCAATATTTCTTTCCTACCTTTGTTAAAACCTGGAAAATATTAGAAAGAAATTCACATGAAATATCCTTTAAGATTTTCAAGTGGAAGTCATCTTGGGTTAAGTCAGACTTTTTTGTTTCTTCGGTATTCGAGTCTACTGAGTTCTCTGGCTTCTTCTGACAATGTTCCATGTTTTGTAAGACACGAATCAGGCTGTCAATTAGAGGAAGATCTAGTGTACAAAAGAGACATGGAATTTGACAATTAAATTTGGTCTTCCTTGTGTTGACTGATTGATTCATTCATTCATTCATTCAAAAGTACTGACAGTACCATAAGTATTTACGTATAGTATATAGTATAATATATATACTATAGTATATAGTATATAGTATAGTAAGTATACTATAAATACTGTAAGTACGTACAACTGACTAGTTACTAGATATTTTACTTCAGGTACTACAGATATCGTGGCAAACAAGATCTTTGAGGCCATAGCCTTCAAGAGGCGCTCAAATAAACTAATGAATAAAACAGATCATTTCAACTTTGGGTGAGTTCTAGGAAGGAAATCAAAGGGGAATATAATAAAGCAGCCGGCAAGGGAGGCTCATTGAGGGGAGAACTAATGGAGAAGCATCATCGCAAATGAGCCCAGGAAAACATTTTAGGCAAAGGGAACACTAAGTGCAAAAGCCCCAAAGAGGAAATGGTCTGAGGAACAAAAGGCCATTGTGGCTCAAACCAAGTGAACAAGGGGGAAGGAGGGCACAAGACAAATTTTGACAATTGGGCAAGAGTCCTATCATGCAGTGCGCCTTTGGAGGTCACAGAGAGAAAGAATTTGAATTTTCAATTTTATCATCAAAATCCTAAACAAAGCTCTTAAAAAAAAAAAGTATAATTTCTTCAAAGACTAAATAGTCATTTTAATTAGCCTACAATAAAAACTGAATAGAGGGACTCCTGGGTGGCTCAATCAGTTAAGCATCTGCCTTTGGCTCAGGTCATGATCTTACAGTTCGTGGGTTAAAGCCTCACCTTGGGCTCTGTGCTGACAGTTCAGAGTCTGGAGCCTGCTTCAGATTCTGTGTCTCCCCCCTCTCTCTGCACCACCACCACTCACACTTTCTCTCTCTTTCTTTCAAAAATGAATAACCTTTGAAAAGAACATTCTTTAATTGAATATAAAAAATAAAATTAGGGGTGCCAGAGTGGCTCAGGCTTAGAGAGAAAGCACTCTCTCAAAAATAAAAATATATATATTAAATAAAAAATAAATAAATATTTAAAATTTTTAAAAAGATTTGTTTTTATAACTTGTCAGTCAAATTCAGTGTTAACAAGAATAGTCAGAAACATTCTGAAAAATTAGGATGAAAGGAGACTAGCCTTACTCGGCATTAAAACAAAGTTTTAATAACTTAAAAACTATAGCCACTGACACAGGAATAGAGCAACAGAAGGGAATAAAATATATAGGGAAGCTCAGAACACAGTAAATGATAAAATTTCAAATCAATGTGGATAAACTGGTTTATTCATTAAATGACACTGAGGTAACTGAACAGTCATCTGGAAAAAAGCTGAAACCATACCTCACATGTAACAACTGAATAGATTCTAGATGGATCATGGATTTAATTGTAGTCATAAAGAAATATCACTCTGTGAAAAACCATTCGTTTACCTAGGAAAATATTCATATTATACTTCTAAGTGAAAAAAGTTGCCTAAAAAGCAGGATAAAGATATACATGCATGTGAGTAGATAGCTATTACAAGCACAATGCTTCCTTTTATAAATTTTACAAATCTGCGTATCGAGCATGTAATGTTTTTTATCAGGAGAATAAAAGTACTAAAACAAACAAGCAAACATACAAACCAAATGAACAATAATCACATGCCAGGGCTTTAAAATCTTACAGACTAGAATTACTCTAGTGAACGCTACTTGCCTTCTTCTATCTTCAGATACTCCTGTTCATCCTGTGAAGCGAAGATGGCAGACAACACTGAATAAACAGAGGCCAGCACAGTTTTCTGCTCCTGAAGTATGATGGGTGGGTCATCAGATTGGCAAAACTCATGGCAGACCAGGTCAAAAAGTAAATTCCAAGTGTCTTTTCCAGTATCAGGACACTGTACTTAAGAAAAATAATAAAGGAAGTAGTTATACAAAAACAAAACAATTCAATGAGTAACTGCTGTGCTTCCCTATAAAACACCTTACCAATAGCTTGAATTCCATCATCCACTGTGGTAAGCAGCTGTAAGATATGCATGTAAACATCGAGCCCTTCTGGATTTTCAGAACTAAATACAAAAAGCAAAAGCACTGAATCAACAACTCTGTGAGACTGCAATCATTCATTCATTCAGCAAATACTTAACACTCTGTACTAATCCTTGCCCCAAATGCTAAGGATAAAACAGGGAACAGGACAAATTCTTGGTTTGCACCAGAGCTTACACGTTAATGGCAAAGACAATCAAAAAAACAAAGAGATATTATGGAATATAATCAACACACAAGAATCAGAAGTAAAAATTTTTGGGGGGCCCTGTCCCACAAAATCAACAATGCAGAAACTTTCTAAGTGATACTTCATCATTCTGGTTTACTTAAATATTCAGGATGAAAAATGACTGAAACTTTTACAGAATGAATGATAGGCCCACAGTAGCAAGCATCAACAGTAACGATGTCCTCCGAATTTCAGGACTCCCCTAGCTCCCTTAGCTGAGAATACTGAAACCACCTAGGTGTAACTTTTGTGATCAACAGTTTGGACTCCTGGAAACCCACAATCTTAGTTCTTCAAATGATTAAGTGAAAATATAGTGAACAATCAAACAGATGGTTCATACTTAAGTACTTACTATTTACAGGCACTATGTTACCGGCTGGGAAAACAGAGCTGTGTAAAACACTGTCCCTACACAAAGTGTACACTCTAAAGAAAAGAAGATAATTAAAGGGGCAATCATGATAAAGAGATAGGACTCTAACACCAAAGGAAGTCCAAGGTGCTAGAGGACCACAGAGCAAGCAGAATTAATTAAGTTTGGAGAGTCAGGAAAGGTATCTTAAGAGAAATGATATTTAAGTACAGACATGAAGGAGAAATGTTTGCGATAAAAAGACATGGTATGCAAAGGCTTGAAGGCAAGAGAGGTTGGTTCCCTTGATGAAAGAAACTTCAACATGCTTGAAACACATGGAGCAACTACTAAGGATGGGGAGGCACTGCAGGACCTTGTAACCCATGCTTTTAAAAAACCTGGACGTTGGGGCACCTGGGTGGCTCGGTCAGTTGAGCATCTGACTCTTGATTTCAGCTCAGGTCATGACCCCAGGGTCGTGGGATCAAGCCCCACGTTGGGCTCCATGCTGAATGTGGAGCCCGCTTAGAATTCTCTCTCCCTCTCTCTCCCTCTCCCTCCCTCTCTTTCTCTGTCCCTCCACCCCCACCCATTCCTTCCCTGCCTCTGCTCCTCCCAAACATGCACAAGTATGTGCACTTTCTATTAAAAAATTCTGGATCTCACGATGCTCAGCATCCCTCCTCATCAGGGAAATACAAATCAAAAACCACACTGAGATACCACCTCACATCAGTCAGAGTGGCTAAAATGAGCCAATCAGAGAACTCTAGATGCTGGCGAGGATGTGGAGAAACGGGCACTGTTTCCTACACTGTTGGTGGGAATGTAAACTGGTACAGCCCCTCTGGAAAACAGTGTGGAGGTTCCTCAGGAAACTAACAATAGAACTCCCCTATGACCCAGCAATAGCACTGCTAGGAATTTACCCAAGGGATACAGAAATGCTGAGGCATAGGAGCACATGTACCCCAATGTTCATAGCAGCACTCTCAACAATAGCTAAAACCTGGAAAGAGCCTAAGTGTCCATCAACAGATGAATGGATCAAGAAGATGTGGTTTATCTATACCATGGAATACTACATGGCAATGAGAAAGAATGAAATCTGGCCATGTGTAGCAACATGGATGGACCTTGAGGGTGTTCTGCTGAGCGAAATAAGTCAGGCAGAGAAGGACAAATATCATATGTTTGCATGTATAGGAGGATTAGGAGGAACTTGGTGGAGGAACAAGGGGGAGAAGAAGGGAGGAAATGGTGGGGGAAAGGGAGAGAGACAAACCATGAGACTCTTGAATGCTAACAAAAACTGAGGACTGATGGATGTGGGGGGGAGGGGCATGGAGGAGGACACTTGTGGGGATGAGCACTGAGTGTTATGTGGAAACTAATTTGACAATAAACTATTTGTAAAAAAAAAAAAAAAAAAATCTGGATCTCAGCCTAAGGAAGGCAATGGAAGAGTTTGAAGCATTCAAGTGAGCTGATGAGTATGTGCTTTGGAAAGATGGTTCTCTAGTCTAGGGTTGGAGAGAGCAGCCTTGAGGCAGGGAACTCAAATGAGAGAATGCCATGGTTGTCTAGCTGAGAGACAGTGGCCTGAACAATCACTGTAAGAAAACACAGGTAGATTTTAAAGACATGGTGTTAAGCAAAAGAACTAAGACTCAAAAGAATATGTATGGTATAATTTTTTTTCACAAAAAAACCTAAAGCTAAAATATATGGAATAAAACTATAGAATAAAGCAAAGAAATAATTCTGAAAAAGTCCAGATAGTAGTCATTTCTAAGTGAGAAAGAGAATTGGGATTTAGGGGCCACAGACACAAGGCACTGTTCTATTTTTTATAAACGTAAGTGTTTGATTCGTAATTACTCATTAAGTATAAATTTGTATCTATACGCTTTCTTGTATATATATTTTACTTCACAATAAAAATGTTGAAAAAATTAAATGAAAACTCTACTTTGATATTTGACATCGAGAATAGTGAAGAAGCAGGATTTGAGGAAAGATGATAAGTTTAATCCTCACCTGGATAAAGGATATAAAAGTCAGACTTCAATGTGGGTTATAAAGCACTAAGGTTATACAACTGAACATTAAGCAGATCGATTCACAAGTTAATTTTCTAGTGACTCCTAAGAAACTGTTTCAATGACCTGTAACACCTAGTAATCACTGCTGGTAAGACATCAGAGCCCAAAACTCAGTCACCTATCCAAGACCAACACACAAACGTAAGAAGCAAGAAAACAAATGACATTAAATGAAAAAGTTGTTAAATGTTTAATGGAAAATAAAACACAAGAAAATCTTTCCTATTTGACTTAAATTACACAAAATTGCAGAAAATTTTAAGACCGTAATCATAATTAATGCTGGAAAGTAGCCTATAACTAAGTAATATTAGAATAGGTACTTTGTAACCATTCTTGAAAAGACCAAACACAGGGTCACCACAAATATTAGCAGTGAATCCAACCTGACAAAGATTGACGGGATAGTATTTATCCTGTCAAAAAGAAACTAAAACTTACCTCTAAGGATACTTCCAGCAATTGGGTTTTCCTAAAACATTTTGCACAAAAGAGCTCACTTACCGTACTTGTTTGGCAGCTTCAAGCACACAGGGCACAATTCTAACCACTGGCTGCTCTTCAGAATCTTCCTGGGGTTGGTCCAGAGGCTGAACAGCCCCATTTCTAATCCATTCCAACATTAGTTTCTCGTCCAAATCAAAAAGCTTGTCCACAACTTCCCCTATTTTCACCAGCAAGTCAACTGCAGACAATAAAACAGTTATTGAAATGAGAAACAAAATTTTACAAACAGTAAGGTTAGGGGTGCCTGGTTGGCTCAGCTGGTTAAGCGTCCGACTTCAGTTCAGGTCATGATCTCGCAGCTCATGGATTACAGACCCACACTGGGCACTGTGCTAACAGTTCAGGGCCCAAAGCCTGCTTCAGATTCTGTGTGTCTGTCTCTCTGTACCTCCCCTGCTCACGCTCTGTCTGTCCTGTCTCTCTCTCAAAAGTAAATAAACGTTAAACAAATAATAATGATAAAGCAGTAAGGTTAATCAACATTCTTAAAGCTATTCCAAGAAAACCAAATCTTACCAAAGTATTACTTATTCAGGGAGATTTATTCACCTCCTTTGTTTAAATCTGTATTCCTTTGTTTGTTTGTTTTTTTGAGAGAAAGAGGGCTCAAGTGACCAAGGGACAGAAAGAGAGAGAATCCCACAAGGGCCAGAGAGAGAGAGAGAGAGAGAGAGAGAGAGATGGGGAGAGAAGGAGGGAGGGGGAAAGAGAGGGAGGAAGGGGTAGAAGGGGAGAGATGGGGGAGGAAGAGGTGGGGGCGGGGGGAGAGAGAGAGAGAGAGAGAGAGAAGGGTTCACCCAAAGTGGGCTCAAGCTCACAGAGATCATGACCTGAGCCAAAGTCAGCTTAGCTTAATGACAGAGCCACCCTGGTGTCCTCTTCCTTCATTTTTAAACAGGGGACTGATCAGTATCCTGGCAGCTTAAGAAGAAATTTTATATCTTGAATCAAAATACTTTCTCACTTTACACTTAACACTTTTTCAAGCAACCTCCAGAAATAGTTATATGGTTTCCTAACAACTAAATAGAACCAAAAATTTTTCCTAGATTACATGGTGACTTACCATTTGTTGAACTTGACATAATGAAACAAATACTATCATAAATAGCTGGATATTCCCGGATTCTTTCAACCCAGACACTGGCCACTTCTGTCTGGGAAAGACAAGTAAGCAATAACCTACAAAATAAACGTGGACTTAGTATCTATATTTGAAAAACACTAAAGGAAATTCAAGAATGAAGAATTAAGCCTATTGTCCTAGATTCCTGTATGAGTGAGTATACAGAATCCACAGAAAGAAGAAAGCATACCGGCTTGTTTCCAGCAGAGTAGGAGGGTCTGAATCATACAAACAGTGCAGTAACACCTGTCTATAAAAACACAAAAGTTAACCCAATATGCATCATTTCTCTCATATCAAATATCAAGGTAGAGTTTTCATTTAATTTTTTCAACATTCTCATTGTGAAGTATAGTACATACACAAGAAAGCCTATAAGTACAAATTTATACTTAATAAATAATTACGAAGCAAACACTTATGTTTTACAAAAAACAGAACAATGCCTTGTCTGTGGCCCCGTGTGTCTCTTCCAAATCCCAATTCTCCGTCTCACTTAGAAATGACTACTATCTGGACTTTTTCAGCAATTATTTCTTTGCTTTACTCTATAGTTTTATTATTTCATATATTTTGGCTTTGAGGTTTTTGTGGGAAAAAAATTATATGATATGTATTCTTTTGAGTCTTAGTTCTTTTGCTCAACACCAGTGAGATCTACCCATGTTTTCCTACAATTGTTCTTTGATTCACTGCTGCAGAGCATTCCATCATATGAATATAAAACAATTTATGTTTCTAGCCTACTAGCCTGATAGATATATGGATAAATTCCAATTACGGCCATTTCAAGCAATTCTCCCACAATACTTTTTCCTCTGATGTACGTGTGCATGGTTTATCTTACCATATACATGAGTGGGATCACTTGGTCATAACATCTGCATTGACTATCTTCCAACTTGACTAAATAATGCCCAATTGTTCTAAAGTGGCTGGACAAATTTATATCCCATCACTGATGTAGTTTCATACTAATTTTAACATGACTCAGGCTTAGTGTTTTTGTTTTTTGTTTTTTTAATTTTTTAATGTTTTTTATTTATTTCTAGGAGAGAGAGAGAAACAGCGTGAGCAGGGGAGGGTCAGAGAGAGAGGGAGTGACAGACTCTGAAACAGGCTCCAGGCTCTGAGCTGGCAGTCAGCACAGACCCCGACCCAGGGCTCGAACCCACGAACCGTGAGATCATGACCTAAGCGAAAGTCGGACGCTCAACCGACTAAGCCACCCAGGCGCCCCTGGTGTTTTTTTTGAGAGACACAGAGTGTGAGTGGGAGAGGAGCAGAGAGAGAAGGAGACACAGGATCCAAAGCAGGTTCTAGGCTCCGAACTGTCAGCACAGAGCCCAATGCAGGGCTCAAACTCATGGGCTGTGAGATCATGACCTAAGCCTGAGCCACCCAGGCACCCCACTCATTCTTAGATTTTTTAAAATTTTGTTAATGTTTTATTTATTTTTGAGAGAGAGAGATAGAGACAGCGTGAGCAGGGGAGGGTCAGAGAGAGAGGGAGACACAGAATCTGAACACAGCCTCCAGGCTCTGAGCCAGCTGTCAGCACAGAGCCTGACACGGGGCTCGAACCCACAAACTGTGAGATCATGACCTGAGCCAAAGTCGGTCGTTTAACCGACTGAGCCACCCAGGCCCCCCTTATTCTTAGATTTTTGATAGAAACTTCTAGAGACCAAATATAATCCTGGGTCATTTACTCCATGAATGACATGAATGATTGTTAAACTACTGAGAGAGGAATAAATACCTTAAACTAGAATCTTTTTTTTTCTTTTTTTAATGTTTATTTTTGAGATAGAGAGAGAAAGCACATCCAAGCAGGGATGTGGCAGAGAGAGAGAGAGACAGAGAGAGAGAGAGAATCTGAAACAGGCTCCAGGCTCTCAGTTGTCAGCACAGAGCCCAACGCAGGGTTCGAACTCATGAATTTTGAGATTGTAACCTGAGCCGAAGTTAGATGCTTTACTGACTGAGCCACCCAGGAGCCCCTTAAACGAGGATCTTAAAGTGACTCCACACCTAGAAGAGGTAATCAGCTCTAGTTTAGAGATCCAGGTACTTAAATCCTGTGATAACTCTCACAACCCTACCTGACAATAACAATCCAGAACACTTAATCTATTATGGGCACAAATTTCTTTGAAATTATGATTAACAGCCATGAACCCTCTGCCTAGAAAATGAATACACTCACAAAATTTAGCATATAATTCCAGGCGTTCTCAGACCTCTTAAAGTAACCACTAGGGTTTCCACTACTAAAAAATGATCTGCCTAAACTTTCCTGCACATGAAAGAGAACTAGCCTCCAAGCAAATATAAGAAAGCCTTTGAATCACAGAGGCTGCCTTGTATCCTCTACTCTGTTAAATCCCAACCCCCGATCCTAGAGTTCTCAGGCTCACCCCGGTCAGTAAATCTAATTTTTCCAAGGGCCAGGATTCCCTGAGCCTAAGGGACTCTGGTCAGGTGCCTCATCACCAAGCTTTGCCTCTCTGAGTCTATCCTGACAGGCTTATCCCCTGTTGATTGTTTAGGCCCTTTTACTACCAAGAAAAAAACAGGCCTAAATCCTCAATCAGCCCAGAAACATTGTGGAAGCCCCAGCTACCAGCAATGTATGAAATTCCTGTAGACTATTCATCAGGAGAAAGGAAGTACTACATTTCATACAATTTTCCTGTATCTCCTACGTGTTTAGGATTTCCTTAGAGATAAGAAATATTAATTTATTTTATAAAAACATAATTCTTGGGGCGCCTGGGTGGCTTAGTTGGTTAAGCGTCTGACTTTCGCTTAGGTCATGATCTCACAGTTTGTGGGTTCGAGCCCCGCGTCGGGCTCTATGCTGACTGCCAGCTCAGAGCCTGGAGCCTGTTTCAGTCTGTGACTCCCTCTCTCTCTGACCCTCCCCTGCTCACACTGTCTCTCTCTCTGTCTCCTAGAAATAAATAAAACATTAAAAAAATATATAAAAAATAAAAAATAAAAAAAATAAAAACATAATTCTTATATAGTAAAACTTACCCAAGATTTTTATCACTGCTGATGGACACACATATCTCCTGGAAACAGGCCATATTACCTAAAATTCCCACACAGATTTCCTGCCAAATTAAATGTCACAGGTCACAATGGCTCTAAGATGAAAGACACATACAAAAATAACACTTGAAAAAAAACTTTCGCTGAGTCAAGTTTGGGGGGAGAAGAGGAGGTAGCATATGGAAGTATAATGCCTGCACCCTAATCTTGACAAGTTTACAGCATCTGACAAAAATAAAGATCAAAGGCAGGCACACGTTAAGGAAGAAGAAATTGTACAGATGAACTGAGTATTAAATGATAAGCAGGATTTAGATGTGCAAAGAAGAAGAAAGACATTCAGAAAAGGGGGTAAGGATCAGCAAAGGCAGGAAAGAAATAATAATGTTCAGGCTAATATGCTGAACACCAAAGAGAGCAGCCTGGCTGTCACACAAAATTGAAGAATAGCATGAGATAAATAAATATAGCAGGTAAAAAGGATCAGGATTAAGGGACCTGAATGCCATACTGAAGAGATTAAATTTAATCTAAGGAGGCTATTTGGATCCATAAGACCTTCAAGGAGGGGAGCAGCATTCCTAACGTTATTTTAGGAAGATTATTTTGGCAGCAAAATACATAATGCATGATAGTGAAAAAAAGTTAAAGGGAAGTTAATAATCTCAGTAGTAACTGCCAATGTTTACTTAGCATTTACAATGCCCAGATACTACTCCAAGCATTATCCATATATCATTTCATATAATAAGACAGGTACTGTCATCCCCATTTTTCAGACAAAGGAACTAAAGCACAGAGAAGTTAAGCAACTTGCCAGGATCTCCGACTGGGCAACAGCAGAGCCCCAGAGGCTGAGCGTCTATCAACTATGCCATACTACATCTCATAGCCAAGGCGCAAGATGAGGGTGGAGATGGCAGGCACAGAAAGGGATGAAGCTGACAAAGACTCAAGGTGAAAAGCAAAATAATCTGACAGGAGAGAAAGGGAGAAGGCAGTTGAACATGACTCTTAAGGTTTCAAGTCTCTCATTTCCCCAGTGAGAGATATTGAGCCCCCTGACAGGAAAATTGGAAAAGAAGTATAGGAAAAGACACAATGAGTTTAGTGAGGATAGTATTTCCACACTTACTGAAACATAAAAGTCACCTGGGCAGGGGGCATGTTAAGAATACAGATTTCTGAGTCCTATCTCAGAGCTACAGAATCAGAATCTCCAGGGTAGGGCCTGGGAGGCTACTGTTTACAAAATGCAACACATAAATTTTATGACCAAGTAAGTGTGTTAATCACTGAGTTAGGACATAACAAGATTCTGGACAAGAAAATGCAGCATGCAAAGAGAGAATCCCTGAAGAAAGTTGAAGATGTGGCACCAGAAGTCAGAAGGAAGGCCACAGCTTTGATCCCACAGGCACATATTCACAACTTAAAGGCTGTAAGGAGTGGATAAGCTCATTAAGGAAATGAATTCAAAAAGGACAAGGGTTCTGGTTCTGCACCTTAGAAGAAGTCCACACTCTGTGTAGGAAGAAAGAAAAAAGCCAATAAAAGTGACAGAGAAGCGACTGAAGAGGTCAGAGACCAGGTGAATGAGGTGGCACCAAAGCTCCAGGAAGGGAAAGTTTCACTGAAACAAGGGCTGTCAAATGTTGGAAAAGATTAAACGAGAACAGGGGCAGCAAAGAAACACATAAATTTCCCTTACAAACTAAAGGGAGAATAACTGAGCTTCCAATCAAAGACCAAGTTTCCCAGTTTTGACTGCTAACTAGAATCAGCTTGAGGGAAATTTAACAACTATGTGGAGCCTCACACTTGGAGATATTGTTTTTTTCTTTTTTTTTTTAATTTTTATTTATTTCTAGGAGAGAGAGAGAGAGACAGCGTGAGCAGGGGAGGGTCAGAGAGAGAGGGAGACACAGACTCTGAAACAGGCTCCAGGCTCCGAGCTGGCAGTCAGCACAGAGCCCAACGCGGGGCTCGAACCCACGAACCGCGAGATCATGACCTAAGCAAAAGTCGCACGCTTAACCAACTAAGCCACCCAGGCGCCCCTGGAGATATTGTTTTAACTGATCTGGGTAGGACTTAACTCAAGACTTTTAAAAGGTCCCAAGAACACAGATTCTTAAAATGTGGGCCCTGGTCCAGAGCAATAGCATCACCTGGAAACTTCTTAGAAATCCTCGATTCTACCACAAACTTAATGGATCAGAAACTCTAGGGGTGGGCCAAGTAATCGGCAGTTCTGGGACATGCCGAAGTTTGAGAGCCTGTGTTCTAGATGATTCTAACATGTGGCCAAGTCAGAGGATCACTGCAGTAGACAGCTGTGACTCACAGACATATATAATGATATGACTAATTTCTGAAAGGTGCCATTCCTGACATCAGCTTATTTTCTTTAAGTGTGAATCATGAGTCAATGTATTTACATTAGAATAATCCAGGAGAAAATCATATAACTGTCAAATCTTTATATTAATATAATGACCCAAAGAAAAGGCAGTTCATCAGTTCATTAGACCCCAATTCAGGTTAAACACTGCCCTAAATAAAATTTGAATTCAGCACTCAATTTGTAAAAATATACTACAGAATTCTCCATAATTTCAAAAAAAAGAGGGAATGCAGTAGAGTGGTTATACTGAAGTCAAGCAGACTAGGCTCACACCCCAGCTTTCCCAGCTGTATGGCCCCAGACAAATTAATCAGAGACTTAGTTCTTTTACTTATAAAGTGATGATAAGTTCCTATCTCATAGAGTAGTAAAACCAAATACCCAATGAATAGCAGTCATTCAGAAGTATAATTACTTAATATTTCCTAATCACCCATGATATACATAGCACATGGCAACCTAAATGACTCAAAACACAGAACATAAAGACTGAATGAGAAGCACAGATAATTCTTTTGAGGAGACGACTATCAGCAATGGTCATTGAGAGCTTACTTATTTGGGAAGGCTTAGATGAAAAGAACCCCTGGGATAACAAATGTGAATAGTGAGAGGGGATGGAGAGCATAAAAGGGAGGCATGGAGATGGTGATTACCACGGTAAGCTGAGATAAGGAGTAGACAGCCCTGCTAAGTTAGGACCATCTGCAGGGTACATTTTATACTGGAAAGATGAATTAGATTCAGATTATGGAAAAGTCCTTGGTGTCTGGCTGAGTTTAGAATGAAGGTTTTTAAGAATGGAGGATTTTATTAATAAAAAAGAGCAATCAACAGAAGTGGGAGGTCCAGACAATGTTCCCTGTCCTGCCACCTATTAGCAACATAACTTTGGTTATGCCTGATTCCACAGCTGCTAAATCAAAGTACTGACCTCCCTGACCCAACCCAAATCTGAAGATTTGACTCTAATAATTTCAAAAAGCATATTACGTAGTGCCAGGCAAAGTTGAATAAAAATCTGCAGACTGATTTGTGGCCAGAAAGAAAACTAAAGACTATCTTTTTTTTTTCCAAAGAATTTTTTGCTTCCTAAATCTGATTCCCAATTTATTGATTTTTTTTTTAGTGTTTATTTATTTTTGAGAGAGAGACAGAGACAGAGCATGAGCCAGGATGGGCAGAAAGAGAGGGACACAGAATCTGAAGCAAGCTTCAGGCTCTGAGCTATCAGCACAGCAGAGCCTGATGCGGGGCTTGAACCCACGAACAGCAAGATCATGACATGAGCTAAAGTCGGACACTTAACTGACGGAGCCACCAGGCACCCTTAAAAACTATCTATCTAGCACTATCTACTGTTACTGCTTCAAAGAGAAAGCTTTCAAAATATACATACTTACTCTTAATCGAGGACACCTGGATTTGGCCAATACTCCCATAAATATGTCAGGGGCATTAAATTCTTGGAGAAATAAAGCCACATCCTGAAAATAAAAAATGATTATTAATTTAGATGAATAGTCCTTTTTAAACCCCACAATACATACAGACAAACATAAAAAAAAATTAATTCTATGTGTACCTCCTTTCAGGCTCAAGAAAAAAAGCCATAGGTTAGGAACTGTGTCATTGTGCAAAAGTAATGTTAGAGAGTCTTCATGCTATTGGTCCCAAGGCAACGGAACAAATCCAGGAACAAATCTAAACTAACTGTGATATTCCAGAGGACTGTCTTCTTTTTTCTGCCTTGAATATATTTACCTTAATGAATTTTCTACCCACCTGCAATGTTCATTAACTCATTCAAACACATCTGCTGATCACCAGGTATCCTGCTAGACAGTGAGGTACGGAAAAGGAGTAAAACTCATAATTCATGTCTTCTAAGAGCTTAAAACACAATGGGGGAAACAGGTGAAAACTCCTACTGGGTCACGCCCCAAATGAGAACTTGTGTTTTCAAAATTCTCAACAGAAAGTAATTCTGATCACAACGTAACTACTAGAGCTTCATACCTCCTTCCTAGAGTCTGCCTCCAGGGACGCACCATACAGGGGGATGAACTTGGAGCGGACATGCAACCCAATCTCGCATGCTCCAAGACTAAATCAGCTTGCTGCAGATACCTGTGTTGCGCAATATTTAAATAAAATTAAGTTTCTGGTGGTCGACTGCCTCAGATTTTCACCAGACTTGAAGTGTATATTTGCAACAGCTTAACTGAAAACCCAGACTGTGGCTTAAGTGAAAAAATTCCTCACGGGGCCCTGGAGGCTCCTCAAAGGGAGAGGCAGTAATCCTTCACAGCAGCTGAAACCAAGGTAACCTGCATGACTGTTGGTTGGAAGAGACATCCTATAATTACTAAGAAAGCACAGTGAGAGAAAACAGTATTTTCAAAGATACACTCCACACTGAAAGTCACAGCAACAAATGCTCCCCATGCTAAGTGTTTAAAGTGCTGTTTGTCACATGGGCAACTCTTAGGACATGCAAAGACTGATTTATTTAATGACAATTATTAATTCCTATGGTAGCACAGAGTTAGGTGACCTAACAATATCAACACCAATAATAATAATGGCAATTAACATTTATTAAGCAAATAGTAAATACCAAGTACAGAGAAGTGGTTTGCACACTACCTCATTTAATTCTCAAAACCCTATGAAGTAGTTATTATTGGCCCCTTTCTACTAATAAACAGAGGTTTTATAAGGTTAAGCCACCTGCCCAAGATTATACAATCAGTAGAACAGATCCAGGAGAACAAAACCCAGATGAGTCTGACTGAAGGCCACTCTCTTAATCAGCACACCAATGCTACCTCTCAGCTATTCATTCATTCACTCACGCATTAATTCATTCACTCTTCACCCAAGAAGAGTGGGTATTTACTGAAAAACCCAAGTAATAGGCACTGTTTGAGGCTCTGGCAGACATATCAGTGAACACGCTAGATAAGTTCCCAGTCTCATAGAGTTTTTATTCTAGAAAGATAAATAATAAACACATAAACAATGAAACTACATAATTTCTTTTTTTTAAATTTTTTTAATGTTTTTTATTTACTTCTGAGAGAGAGAGAGAGAGACGGCGTGAGCAGGGGAGGTTCAGAGAGAGAAGGAGACACAGAATCCGAAACAGGCTCCAGGCTCTGAGCTAGCTGTCAGCAAGCACAAAGCCCAATGTGGGGCTCGAACCCGCGAACCGTGAGATCATGACCTGAGCCAAAGTCAGAGGCTTAACCGACTGAACCACCAAGGCGCCCCAAGAACTACATAATTTCTAAGTGCTAGAAGGAAGACAAACAAGATAGTATGTGCTAGAAGCCACGTTGGGGAGGAGGCTACTTCAGATGTATCAAAGAAGGTACTCTGAAGAGGTGACATTAAGAGAAGGAACTTAAATCTATCAGAGGTCACAAAGGCCAAATAAAACATAAGTGTTATGGAACAGAGTGAACAGGTTTCATGAGAGCAGGGAAGAGAGATGAATTCCGTTTGGAGTGTCTGTAGAGGCGTTACAAAGAGGTGACATTTAGGCTGCGCCACATAAGGTGAGAAAGATTTTGCTGGCTGGAGGCCATTCCAGGCAGACAGTGGCACGAAGAGAGCATGAACACATGAAAATGCAGAAAGTATCTGTAAGTCTCTGGTCCTGCTTACACACTAGGGGTAGAGGATAAGGCTGTGACACAGGAAGGACTTTATGCCAGTGACTGGTGGACAGCTCAGTTCTCTAGAGGTGCTTCAAGAGCTATCCTAACAAGGTGAAAAAGAGACCAAGAACATGACCCTCCCTTTTCCACCAACTATCTTTTTTCAAAGAGAAGCTCTATTTTACCTATTTTGTATTTGAGGATTTCGAACTAAGATTTCATTTTAAAAATGGGTTCTAGTTCTTAAGAAAAAAAATTTCTTTTTAATGATAGCTTCCGAATAATTGTAGAACAAGTTGAAAAAAAGACTTGACCAATATGCTCAACCAACTTGAAACAATTGACATTTATAGGACACTCCACCCTGCAACAGCAGAATACACATTCTTTTTAAGTGAACATGAAACATTTACCAAGATAGATCACATTATGGGGCATAAAACAAGTCTACATATATTTTTAAAAGGATGCAGAGTGTTCACTGACTCCAGTAACAGAAAGGTAACTGAAAACCCCCAAATATTTGAAATCTAAACAATGTATTGCTAAATAACCCAGCAGCCGAAGAAGAATTAAAGGAAAATTAGAACTAAACTAAATGAGGAAACCCCAATATATCAGAATCTGTGGGATACTGCCAAAGCAATAGTTAGAAGACTATTGTGTTTATAGTGTTACATGCCTATATTAAAAAAGAATGGTCTCAAATCAATGACCTTAGCTTCCACCTTAAGAAATTAAAACAGAAGAGTAAATTAAACCACATTAAATAGAAGAAAATTTTAAAAAAGGACAAAGAGGAAGTCAGTGAAATAGAAAACAGGAAAGCAACAGAGAAAAATCAACAAAACAAAGGCTTTAGGGAAATCAATAAATTAAACTTCCAGCCAGAATGGGGCGCCTGGGTGGTTCAGTCAGTTGAGTGTCTGACTTCGGCTCAGGTCATGACCTCACACTTCGTGGGTTCGAGCCCCGCATCGGGCTCTGTGCTGACAGCTAGCTTAAAGCCTGGAGCCTGTTTCCAATTCTGTGTCTTCCTCTCCCTCTGACCCTCCCCTGCTCATGCTGTCTCTCTCTCTCTCAAAATAAATAAAAACATTAAAAAAAAAAAACACTTTAAAAAATAAATAAATAAACTTCCAGCCAGAATGATGAGGGGAAAAAAACAGAAGACACAAATTACTAAAATCAGGAATGAAGAGAGGTGCCATCACTACAGATTCTACAGATAATTAAAGGACATAATACTTTGAACGACTTTATACCAATAAACTTGACAACTTAGATAAAATGGATAAATTCCCTGAAGAACATAAACTACCAAAGTAACCTGAATAGCTTTATTATCTATTAAAGGAATTGAATTTAAAATTTTTCCCACAATATACTAAAAACCACTAAATGGTGAATATTATCGTAGTGACTTATAGCTCAATAAAACTGTTATTTTTTTAAAAAAAAAAAAACTTATTTCTTAAAAGTGGTAAATATACAAAACTAAAAGTAAACACACAAAAAACAAAATCTCTCCAGAAAGAAAACTCCAAGCTCAGATGACTTCACTGGTGAATTCCACCAAATTTTTAAGGAAGAAATAATATTAATTCTGCACAAACTCTTCCTGGAAAATGAAGAGGGAAAAGTTCCCAATCTATGAGGACAGTATTACCTTGGCACCAAAACCAGACAATGACAAGAAAATGAATCTCTCTCATAAAGATAAAATTTCTACGCAAGATTTTAGCACCTTGAAAATCAATCAATTCAGTACACCATATTAACAAACTAAAAAGAAAAACTACATCATCATCTCAACAGACTGAGTAAAAGCGTAACACATACAAGATCCATTCCTGATAAAAGATTCTAGGCATACTAGGGACAGAAGGGGACTTCTCATCTGCAGCTACATCATACTTAGTGGTGGAAGGCCAGGTCTTCTGCCACCCAATTAGAAACAAGATGCTCCTCTTACCATTTCTAGTCAACATCATACTGAGGTTCTGGCCAGGGTAAATGTGCAAGATAAAGAAATAAAAGCAATTTAAATAGAAAAAGTAGTAAAACTTTTCTTCATAAATGAAAAACAGCTGCAGGATATGATATACAAAATCAACTGTATTTCTATATACTAGCAATGAACAGATACTGAAGTTTTTAAAAATGCCATTTATAATAGTATCCAAAAATATGAATTACTTAGGAATAAATTTGAGAAAAGATGTGAAATACCTATACACCAAAAACTACAAAACTCTGCTGTAAGAAATTAGAGAGGACCTAAATAAATGGAAAGATATACCTGTTCAACTTATCAATTCTTCCCCCAAATGTAAACACACAATCTTAGCCAAAATCCTAGCAGGCATTCTGTAGAAATTGACAAGCTGATTATGGTGGGGCACCTGGGTGGCTCAGTAGGTTATGTGTCCATAATTTAGCTCAGGTTATGATCTCACGGTTCATGAGTTCGAGCCCCTTGTCAGGCTCTGCACTGACAGCTCAGAGGCTGGAAACTGCTTCAGATTCTGTCTCCCTCTCTCTCTGCCCCTTACCACTCCTGCATGCCCGCATGCAGGCACTCTCCCTCTTTCTTTCTCTATCACTCTTTCTCTCTCTCTCTCTCAAAACAATCAAAACAGCATTAAGAAAGACAAACAGATCAAGGAAACAGAAGAGTCCATCCAGAAATAGACTCACATGTACATACAGATAACTGATTTTTGACAAACGTACAAAGGCAATTCAGTGGAGAAAGTCTTTTAAAAAAATGAGCTTGAACAACTAGACATCCATATGCAAAAAAAGTAAACTTCAATCCATACTTTACATCACATGCAAAAAATCTCAAAATGGATCACAGACCTACTAGTAAAACCTAAAATTATAAAACTTTTAGGAAAAAACAAACAAACAACTATGAAGACAACACAATTAAAGAGTGGGCAAAGATTCAAACAGGCACAAAAAAATGATATACGGATTGCAGATAAACACATGAAAATATTGTCAACATTATTAGTAATTAGGGAAATCCAAATCACAATCACAATGAGATTCACTACACACTTATTAGAATGGCTAAAGTCAAAAGACTGACCATATCAACTGTTGGTGAGGATGAGGGGAAACTGGGACTGTATTTCATACGCTGCTTATGGTAATGTAAAATATAAAAACCACTTTGGAAAATACACAATTTTTTGCACCATCTGTAAAAAACACAATTCAGTCTGTTTCTTAAAAAGTTAAACATACACCTGCCATATGACCCATATTACTCTAGGTATTTAGCCGAGAGGAAGGAAAACACATGTCCATAACATACTTAGACACAAAAATTCAGCTTTAACTATAATAAACCACAAACAACTCAAACATCCTTCAACCAAGAAATAAATGAATAAATCATGATATATACATAAAATGAAATATCACTCAGCAATAACAAAATAATAAACTACTGACAGACACAAAATGCATGAATCTTAAAACAATGATGCTGAGTGAAAGAGCGGACCTCTCCAAAAACAGAATACAATCCCATTTATGTAAAACTAGAAAATGCAAACTACTCTGAAGGGAGAATGACTATCAGTGGTTGCCTGGAAAGGGTGGAGGCTAGGAGGGGCAAGAGGAAGGGATTACAAAGAGGCATAAAGAAACTTTTGGGGGTGAGAGATATGTTCTCTTTCTTAATTACAGTGATGGCTTCATGCATGTATACATATCAAAATTTTTCATATTGTGCACTTTAAATATGTACAGTTTCTGTACATCAATTATACCTCAAGAATACACTTCTTTTGGTGTCAATTATATCTCAATAAAACTGTATCAAAAAACAGCTGAAGACAACGAACAGCTATGGACAATTTTTAAGACAGAACACAATTAAATCTGTGTTTTAGGAAAAAGAGAACTTTTGTGGCAATGTGGAGAACAGAGGGAAGTAAAAAGACAAGAACAAGGACTTTAATCAGGAAGCTATTGGAAAAGTCCAAGTACTTAAGTGACAGATTAGGTACATCAATCTCTTTTTGCCTCTTTTTTTTTAATGTTTGTTTATTTTGAGAGAGAGTATGCGTGCGTAGGAGACAAAAAATCCCAAGTAGCCTCTGCGCTGTCAGCAAAGGGCCCAACGCAGGGCTGGATCTCACAAACTGCAAGATCATGACCTGAGCCAAAATCAAGAGTCAGCCACTTCACCAACTGAGCTACCAGGCAACCCTCACCTCTTTTCTTACCTGTAAAGTAGGGGTACCACCTGTATCACAGCGTTATTGTGGAAAAACAAATGGAATTATATGAAAATGCTACTGAGCCACAGAGTACAATACAAATGTTAAAACGTTTTTTTGCAATTTATATACACATGGTTCCCTCTTGGGCCCTTCTAATTTAATCATGGCACATCAGTGGTCTCCTACACAAGGTCAACATTCTCTTTAGGTAGATAAGTATCAGAACTTTCCTGGGCTACAAGCATCCCTGTATTCATGAGAACTATATATTTAGCCCCAGTCTAGTGACAGTTCAGATCCCCTACCCTCCAAGACGGAAGTTTAGCATTTATAGTTCATTCCCTGTATCATATGACTACAGACACTAAAGTCTTTCCCCAGAAACTTAAAAAACAAAACAAAACAAAACAAATCCATTCACCAACTCCTAACCCAACAGTCATTTCAGCTTTATTTTCAACCCCATACCTCATCCATGGACATATCCCATACTCTGCAAATTTCATTCTCCATTTCTTCATCGAGCTCCATCTGCTGCTCCTCCTCATCTGAGCTGGATTTGGTGTTTTCAGGGCTAACAATCTTCAACACAAAGGAAGAAAAGACATGAATAAAAGTTGTCCATAATACACATCAAATATTATTATCCTATAATCACACACAAGTCACAAAGGTACTGTCCTCAAAGTATCTTCTCTTGCAGAAACCTTCTTTTAAAAAAAATTACTATCTTGGGTAGATCAACATTCATTCAACATTTGTGGAGTCAATACCGTTACTAGGCACTGGGGCAGAAATGCACAAATGAATAAATGTAAGCCCTTGCTTTCAAGCAGTTTAGGCCCTAGAGGGGAAAACACATGTAAACTAAGCACATAACATGTAAACTAAACACATATAAATAATCACAGCAAAAAAGACTACATGATTCAAGTGAACTGTGGACCAAGCTGTCAAAGCAAAACACTGGACCTACGCCTGGAGAAGCTTAACAAACTTCTCCTAGGAGGTAATCTTTAAGCTAAACCTCTGAGGGAGAATAGGAGTTTGTATGTGAAGAGGGGGAAAAGAACATACCTAAGAAAGTGCAAGAGTTCAGATTTAAGAAAGCGGCCTGGCAATGTGTAGGGAATGGTAAGTAGTTGAGGGTTATGGGCAGATGTGTCTGGGAAGATTGCAAAGAGCCCTGTATTCCACGCTAAGAAATATGCATTTTTCTCCTGCAGTCATTTTGGGTTTTTTTTCTTTGGTTGGTTGGTTTAAGGAAGATTATTCTGGCATCTGTGTAGAAGATACACTGGAGAGGATAGAGACTGGAAGTTGGGAAATTAGTGAAACGTGAGAGAAGAAAGTTCACGTTTACTGAGAGCTTCTGTAAGCCAAACGCTATAGTGAGCATTCTGTGCCCACTATAATCTTATTTAACCTCCACAATAACGCTATATACAATAACAAAGGTATTTTCATCCCACTTGATGGAAACTGAGAAAGAAACCGAGGCTCTGAGCAGTTAGGTGACTTGCGCAAAGCAGGTGATGAAGCCACGCTATTGGTGTCAGGGCCGTAGGGCATTCAATCACCATTTATTCTTCAACAACAAACATCCACAAAATAAACTACGCTGCAGAAACGACACCGGGAATGGAGAGCAAAACCCCGAGCAATATATGTACATGGTCAGACATTTTCGGAGAATTTGCATTAAGTAAAATATTTTAACCGTAAGCATTTCTGTATCCCTGCCACTGTATCTCCCTTTGTGCTGAGGGGTACCGGGAAAGTCTCCCGGAAGTTTTGGGGTTGCGGCGGCAGCCACGACTCTAAGCGCGGGGCCCCGAGAAGGGTCTTCTGGGGGATGGCGGCTCCCTGGGCCCGAGGGGGCTGCGTGGACGAGGGGCTGAAGCAAAGTGAGGGAGCCCACGCGAGGCGAGGTTTTCCACACCTGAATGAGTCCACTGAGGACACCGAAGAGCCAGTGCTTGCTGTAGACCGTGCTCCCTATGCAGTCTCCCCCGGCACCCTCCTCCTCCTCATCCCGACTGGGGACCGGCGGCGAAGGGTTGCGATCCATGACTTCACCCACACTCGCTCAGAGAAGCCGCGCCGGAAGCCTTCGGAGGAGGCGATAGGCCTCCTGGAGCCAGAGGGCCCGGCGCACCTGGTGCGGCTCCCGCTACAGCGCCCCCTGCTGCCCGGAGCCCTGCCGGCCCGAGTACCCGCTCTTTGCCCACAGGCTTGGGAACCTGGGTGACTCAATCTCCTGGGCTCCCATGCTTCCTGGGATAGAACCGCGGTCATATTCATAACAGTTATTTGCCAGTTTCAGCGGACCAGATATTCCACCTCCCCAGAAGCTCTTAGCCAGATGGTAAGAGACAGGGAATGGGGTACAACGACTCTGGTACAGACGTGAATCTCGAAGCTGTCAGACCCCCTGATCTCTAGGCACCATTGACATTCTTAAAGACATCAGGTGCTCATTCTTATCCCAGGTGTGGTTGGAATCCTGTGAAAGATAGAAGTCACCAGGAAGATCGTCAATACGACAACTCACTGTATCTTCAGTTCCTGTTTCTCTTTAGTTCAATGGTATTCAACCTCAGACCCAATGCTACTACCTTCACCCCGCAAGTATTTTACCATATGTGCTTTACTTTGATGAAAGATGTTTATGGATGTTATTATCTACCTCAACATGTAATTTCAAAAATATATATATCATTACCTCACATAAAGGAAAAATAAAATTAATTTAAAATAAAATATGTATTTTAATATTTTAAATACTAGAAGACATAATAGAGGTCTCCAATGTTAGCACAGATACATCAACTGTGAACCCAACAGTTAGAAAGGTAGAATAACAGAGACTGTGCTTCTCTAAATCATAAACAAAGGATGATAAAATTTCTACCAAAACAAAGTTCCAATTTACATACCAATTGCATTTCCAGAAAATTCTAAGGTATATTAAAACTGGACAAAAAATACTCTATGTTAACATGTAAAAACACTTGGATCCTAGGCTCAAATAATTACAAACGTTTTTTTCACAGTGTGTTTAAGAGCAGACCCAGATTTTGTAGGGCCCAAAGTATGCAATTTGGGGAGCCCCCTTATAAAAAACAACACAAAATTACAAATATTAAATTAGTTACTATTTAATATTTATTTAGCATTGGAAAAAACTGATCAATTTTAAATGCCAAATAACATTTAAAACATCACAAAAAAGGAGCGCCTGGGTGGCTCAATCAGTTAAGCATCAACTTCAGCTGAAGTCCTGACCTCACAGTCTATGAGTTCAAGCTCCATGAGTATGAGCCCTGTGCTGGGCTCTGTGCTGTCAGCAAAGAGCGTGGAGCCTGCTTCAGATTCTGTGTCTCCATCTCTCTCTTCCTCTCCCCCACTCACACTCTGTCTCTCAACCGTGAATAAATGCTTAAAAAATAATTTAAAAAAATAAATAAAACATCACAAAATTCAGAAAAATATCCAAATATTTTTTATTAATAAACAGCACAACACACTTCTACAATCCTTTTTATTTCTTTTAATAGATTTATTTTTAGGGAAGTTCTAGGTGTACAGCAATATTGAGCAGAAGGTACAGAAATTTCCAATATAACCTGATCCCATGAATAGCTTCCTCATTATCAGCATTCCCCACCAGAGTGGAATATTTGATACAATTGATGAATATACATTGGCACATCATTATCACCCAGAGTTTACATTAGAGTTAACTCTTGGTATTGTACATTGTATGGATATGGGCAAATTTATAATAATGTATATCCACTTTTATTGCATCATGCTCTAAAAATCTGTGCTTTGCATGTTTGCAACATTTTTCTTTAAAATTTTTGGTTTATTTATTTATTTTGAGAGAGAGAGAGAAAAAGAGCGTGCAAGCAGGGGACACGTACGGAGAAGGAAAGACAGAATCCCATGAAGGCTCCACACCATCAGCACAGAGCCTGATGTGGGGCTTGAACTCACAAGCCACAACATCATGACCTGAGCCAAGATCAAGAGCCATTCACTTAATCAACTGAGTGATCCAGGTACCCCTACATTTTTATTATAGTGTTTTCTGAGTTATCTTTGATCTTCTCTTTATATGACAATGACCTTGTAAGATAATTTTCTATAATGACAAATAAAAAGATAATTCTGCCTTTAATTATACTTGGAAGCAACTGAAAACTGCATAAATAGGGATGCCTGGGTGGTCTAATTGGTTAAGTGTCTCACTCTTGATTTTGGCTCATGTCATGATGTCACGGTTAGAGAGATCTAGCCCCACATTGCGTTGACAACACCAAGCCTGCTTGGGATTCTCTCTCTCCCGTGCTCTCTGCCCCTCCCTCGCTCATGCAAGCACATGCACTCCCTTCCTTTCTCCAAATAAATCAATAAACATTTTTTTAAAAAACCACATAAATCTGTCTCACTAAATGCAAACCAATTCTATTCCCAATTCAACTTCTCCTCAGTCAGATCCCCAAAATGCCTGAGCCCATCACAGTGCCACTCAACACAAGCAGAAAAGTGATGGTGGAATCCTGCCAGGAGCACAGACGCATTAACCGCTCTAGCTAAAAGATTTTACTTCTGCAGGTTTTACAAAGATAAGTGACCATATGAATCCCTTCCAAGGGCCCCTCCGAGGGTCTTGGAATGGTTCTGTATAAGTGAAGAGCTCTTGAAACTGAAGCTTCATCAGCTACACAGTAAATGTGATTCTGTCTACATACGTCTGATAGAACACTACAAAAGTCAAGCAAGATTCAGGATGACTCCCAGTTTGCAGCACTGTTCTATACATCCTAAACTGCCTATACCTCTGGCCCAGCCACCAAATGCCTTCCAATCACATGTCAAGCAAAAGAATCCCCAGATATACCTGAGAGCTAGGGTGAGGAGGGGGTGGTGGTAGCACTATCCTGTTGAGAACAAGGGTTTAGATCTCTCTATCCAGGGCCTGACCTGTATGGTCCATATATAGTCTATATTGTATGGTCCCTATGATAGACATATACTTTTACTGCAATGACAAAATGGATTTCACAAGAATTTATTAATGCTTTTACGTGCTTTTAATAAAGTATCATATAAGAGGGAATAGAGAATTCAGTAATTCAAACTCAGCAACTATTCCTGCCCTCAGGGGCCTCCCAGTCCCTGTGCTGAGTGCAGCCAAAGAGGAGGCTCAATACTTGTAAGGCAGGCCAGCAGGTCGGAAGTGGTTGGGGTCTTTGCCGCTCCGGCCCCATTCATTGGCAGCCTGGTCAGCCTTCGAGTCCTCTGCTCCGTGGCCGCTGTTTCCATGCCTTAAAAAGTCTGTGAACCTCTGCGTATTCTCTCTGGCGTCGCTGGAATGGAGGAAGGCAGGTAGGAAATTAATTAGGGGCTGATAGGCAATAGTTCCCTTCCCCATCTCTATTCTCCCCAAGGGATGGCTGACAGGAGCCAAGGAAAGAGGGAATAAAACACTGACAATCCACCTCCATAAACAGACCACCTCAGCTGGGGATGGTCCCTTTGCTGGGTGAACAGCACTCAGAGGGGGAGGGTGGGGACCACCCATTCCCCCTGGCCTTGCTCTGGCTCCATCAGCCACTCACACCCCACACTGGGCACTGAGGGGAGGGTGGGCAAGAGGAGGAGGAGCCACAGTCTCTACAGGAGACTTCTCCAGGGCGTGGCCCCTCCTGGCTGTCCAAAGCAGCCACGCTCAGCTCACCCACCCCTGCATCCCCTGGAGCCCCGTTACCTGATCACTTTTGCCGCCCAAGCGCCCCCAGGTCCCCTCTGTGCGGCATCATAGTTCCCCCGGGCGTGGAAGTATTTGTCTGAATCTTTGTAATTGGCTTCTCTCATGTCAGAGTAGGCTCTCCACATGTCTTTAGCCCCTGGAAAGGAAAGAAAATGATGAGATGAAGGTGGTCATATCTTGGCAAAATAGAGAAATAAGACATTTTCCTCCCACTGATTCTTCCTTTCAGCCTTTGACAAAATCCTTGGAGATGATATTGGCTGGGATGAATATTCCTTTACCTTTCACTTCCCTGGGTATATGTTCTGAGAGGCACACTTGGTGCAAGTTTTATTCTATTTGATTCCACTCTAAGTCCTGTTGGCTACTTTTGTTTGGCTGTGTGTGATGTGTGCCAACAAGAGGTGGGATGGTCTTTAAGGGATGCTTTGTCCCACGATGACCTCTAACTGGACAGACACAGCCTGAGAACAAAGGCAAGTCAGAGGGAGGCTGCTGACCCAGACGCCTTCTAACCAGGTCAAGGGGAGAAATTATTTCTGTGGGCAGCATGAGGATAACTTGGTCCTGAATATTTCTGAATGCCTGGAGTATTTTTAGCACCCAGCCTGTGGTTAGGGGGAGGTCCCCTGGAGAGATTTACAAAAACAGGGTCATCAGATGCAGAAAAAAGGGTACCTGGTCCACTAGCTCTAAGGTTCAGTGTCCTCCCCAGCAAATGGAGGAGGATATAGCCTTCCGCAGAGAGTTTATGCAGATGAATGGAGAAAGTGCACATACGACTTTTAGAAGATTGTAGGTGTTCAATATGCTATCACTTCCCTGGGCCTTAGGAAGGCTGGGACAAAAACCGTAATGGGACTATGCTAAGAGGAAGATCAGGGAGTTACAGACTGAAGGAATCTGATCAGGCTACACTAAAATGAAGACTTTAAAAAAGCAATGCAGAAGGTAAAAGAGAAAAACTTGCTGTCGAGTATAACCATAGTTTATGTAACATCCATGTATGCCATATATTCATTTTCTGTTTATTATTTCTGGTATTTACAAAGATCACTTTGTTGAGTGGTACGACATCATTTTTAACGTTTATTTTTGAGAGACAGACAGAGTGTGAGCGGCAGAGGGCCAGAGAAAGCAGAAGACACAGAATCTGAAAGAGGCTCCTGGCTCTGAGCTATCAGTCCAAAGTCCCATGTAGGCTCAAACCCACGATCCGTGAGATCATGACCTAAGTCGAGGTCAGACAATTAAGCAAACTGAGCCACCCAGGTGCCCTGAGCGGTATTCTTCCTATATTCGTGTTACTGATTTATATAATGCCTTGTGTCCATTGGCAAAAAATAGATTTCCAAAATGCCTGAGAGATGGGTCGCTTTTGGGGCAGAGCTGGAGGTAGTGGTTTCCAACCTTTAGCGGCACAAAAAGCCACTGGAAGCTTGGTAAAGGCCAGATTTCAGGCTCAGCCCCAGAAACTGGGATTCAGCAGAGGGGAGTGTGTGGATCCGGTGTTCCACAATGCACCCCAGACCCCAGGTGATTCTCATGCAAGTGGTCCTAGAAAACCCTTTGAAAAACATTGACCTAAGAGATGAAAAACCATCTGTAGCTGTGCCTTGTGAGAATTTAGAAAAGGCTGACAGCAACCTCTGTGTTCTTAAAACAAAAGCAGTGAGGATCACAGAAAAACAACAAATAATTTTGTGGAATAAACAAATTCTTGTCCCTTGACTCTGACTGATGGGCACATATCTCTTGCTCTCAGGGCCCAGCCAGGTCTCCCGCCAGCAGAACCATCATCATGTAATTCCTTGTGCCTCTTATGGTGGGGACAGGAGCTGTGCAGAGTTGCCTTCCACCTGTACCACATCCTGACTGCCTGCCATTTGCTCAGATAAACACGAGATATGGGTCCACAAACCCCTCACTGTCCCCTGCGCTCTCTGGTCCGCGAGGCAGGATGGTCCTTGTTCATAGCAAGGTCTGAGGTGCTCGACTCCAGGGTAGATCCTGCTCTGCTTGAGAACTTTGCTAGGACTCTTATCTCTCTGTGCCTCAGCTTCTGTTAAAGGATAATAGTTCCTACGTCACAAGACTAAAGATTAAAACCTGAGGATGAAAACGAGTTCATTCATACAGGTAAAGTCTTAGAACAGTGCCTGGAACAGGCCAAGCTCAGTTAGTGTTGGTTGTAGTTACTAAGTGCACAAGTTTGAAGCACGCACTTCGTGTCTGAGACACAGCAATGGGCTGTCCCTGAGTTCCCAGTAGGGGACAGTAGAGTCCCACGTGGGAGGAGGGAGCAGGTGCCCTGGACCCCAGATGTCTTCTGCTCCTGCTGCAAGTTAAAACCCAAAGCTTATGTGACCTTCGGCCTGGGATCCCCAGGGAACTGTGCAGTGCTGGCCAGAAAAGCCAGGGCCAGAGGGATAGGACAGATGTCATTTAAGGGGAAAAACCACCAGTAGGAAGTAAGCTCTAGAGATCTAGCGCACAGTAGAGTGAACACAAATCAGTGTTGTATCATCATTATCAACCTGGCCACAGTTTAGAATTTCATTATTTCAAGTACTAAAGGGAAAGGATAACTGTCATGTGATAGACGTGCTCTTATAGCCACAATGACAATCATCTTACATATACAAAAGTATCATTAACATGACGTCCACCTTCAATGTATACAATGTTATGTCAGATATGGTTCAATTTTTCTCAAAAGCCTGGGAAACTGCTGTCTTGCAAACCGTGCTTCTTTTCTTCCCACTTGTGGCCTTCACCCTGTGCGCATGTGACCTCCACTGTGGTGAATTCTGATAGGGGCCAGCTGCTGCCTTCTCCGGACCCCCATCCTTTGGTCCTTACCTTGCCCAGCCTCCTTGAGGAATGTGAACCATCCCTGGCTGCTGACGCCCAGGACCAGGGAGCACAATAGGACGCCCACGAAAAGCTTCATCCTGCAGCAGAGACAAGGAGACATGCAAGGAGGACGCAGTTTGGGTTTGGTTTGGTTTTGGGGGGAGTCATGCGGACCCACACCTGTATTCCAGAACTGAACCACACTCAATATTACCTATATCTATCTACACACACACACACGTCTATACACGTGCATGTGTACATATCTACCCATGTCTATACATATGTGTGTAAAAATGTGTAGGTAGAAGTAGGCAATGCATGTGCGTATATGTAGGCAGGTGGCACATAGATACATGGAGAATTCCATAGGGTCCAGTTCTCTGTCTAATTTGCCCTGTAGGAATCCCAGTATGAAAGGTTGCACTGCACTCTAATATAAACCACATTCCATTTCAGTCGTCCACTATGAGACCTAAAACCCACTGTCCAGAAAGTTTCCAGAGAGGCCTTTGGGGATTTTGTGACCGTGTACTCATCTGTAAAATGAGGATAGTGAGACAACGCACACATGTTTGCAGTATACCTGCTCTACCCATCCATGAACTCTGCAGAGGAAGTACACCACTAAATCCGGGTCCCAGAAAGTATTCACATCTGGGGAATTCGAATTGCCAGGATAGTAGATTCAGGAAGGAAGCATAGAGCGGGGACACAGCGCAAGAATGCCATTGGGTAAAAGAATCTGCACAGAAGCAAGGTGTTGGAAAGTTCTAGTGCCTCACCTTTGGCTCTCCCTTCCTGCTGTGGATCCTGGTGAGGTTGAGCTTCTTGTGCCTCCTGCCTGTGACAGGGGCTGGCATTTTATATACTGACACTCTCCTGGGGAATGGGTAGGCAAGCAGGTTTGAAGCAAAACACTGAGATTTGGGAAATCCCTCTTGGCCAGAACACAGCATACAGAACATCAGGCTCCTTTGTCACGCCCATCTACATCCCCAGGTTGTGCAATCTGGCAGCTTTCAGGCATGTAGCAAACTTGGAAATTTCTACTTGTTTCTGGTGTCACTGCTGGTAAGAAAGGTTTTCTTCCCCACACAATAGTGTATTGAGAGTTGCTGTGAAGCGTATTCCGAATGAGAAAAGAGATATGATTGCCTAAAGAATGAGAGAACAAAGGCAAATGGGGAGCAGAATGGGCTCCATTAAAGGAGTGGCTAAGGAGAAAGCCGGGACCCCAGAGAGCAGTAGTTGGGGAGGAAGGACCGACAATCAGGAAAATGAAGCTTCCAGAACCCAGTGGGGTGGACTCGATCCTGGAAAAGGGATTCTTCCGTGATCAGTTGCTATGGTAGCTCACAATGGCAATTACAACTAAGGAACTGCAGTGTAGAAATATCTACAATGTCACCTAGGAAGGACATATTATAAAAATGGTAAGGAAACTGGCACCTTGGTAACTCCGTCAGTTAGGCTTCTGACTTTTGCACAGCTCCTGACCTCTCGGTTTGTGAGTGGGAGCTCTGCATAGGGCTTGGGGCAACAGATCAGAGCCTAGAGCCGGCTTCGATTTCATCTCTCTCTCCCTGTCTCTCCCTTTGCTCACTCGCTCGCACACTCTCTCTCTCTCAAAAATAAATAAACTTAAAGAAGTAGAAAAACAACAACAGCAGCAGCAACACAAGATCAAGGTGGCTGTAGCCAGGAAAGGGTTCCATAGTCCCATCCTCCCCTGTCTGTGTTCCCTGCCCCCAGGGCAAGGACCACTGAGGATCAAATCAAAGAGAACTGGATGCTGAGGACACAGAAGGAGATAGGGCACAACTGATGAGCTAAAACCCTGAAAACCGGGGTAAGCAGAAGGTCATGGACAGGGAAGCTGGTCTGATCCAGGAAGGGGAGTGCAGGGCATCTGCGCTGTGTGACACTGACATGGTCACCCTCGCACCAAATCACACCCAAAGGCTCGGCCTGCACGTGGGTGTCCCTCCATCACCCCTGGGAACAAATGAGCAGTCCTTACGTCATACAACAACACATGTTTTTCAAGAAACTCTTAAGCATTTATTAGACACCTGTTAGGAGCCCTACAACAGATTCTGTGGACACAGAACTCAATGACTCGGTGTCTCTGCCCTCGGGGGCCTCCCAGCCCCTGTGCTGAGTGCAGAGCAAAGAGGAGGCTCAGTACTTGTCAGGCAGGCCAGCAGGTCGGAAGTGGTTGGGGTCTTTGCCGCTCCGGCCCCATTCATTGGCAGCCTGGTCAGCCTTCGAGTCCTCTGCTCCGTGGCCGCTGTCTCCATGCCTTAAAAAGTCTGTGAACCTCTGAGTATGCTCTCTGGCGTCACTGGGGGGAGGGAGGCAGGTGGGAGATAAATTAGCAGCTGATGAGCAATAGCCCCTTCCCCCATCTCTATTCTTCCCAAGGGATGGCTGACAGGAGCCAAGGAAAGGGGATAAAACACTGACATTCCCCCCCCCACCCCCAAACAGACCACCTTAGCTGGGGCTGGTCCCTTTGCTGGGTGAACAGCACTCAGAGGGGGAGGGTGGGGACCACCCATTCCCCCGGCCTTGCTCTGGCTCCATCAGCTACTCACACCCCACACTGGGCACTGAGGGGAGGGTGGGCAAGAGGAGAAGGAGCCACAGTCTCTACAGGAGACTTCTCCAGGGCTTGGCCCTCCTGGCTGTCCAAGGCAGCCACACTCAGCTCACCCACCCCTGCATCCCCTGGAGCCCCGTTACCTGATCACTTTTGCCGCCCAAGCGCCCCCAGGTCCCCTCTGTGCGGCATCATAGTTCCCCCGGGCGTGGAAGTATTTGTCTGATTCTTTGTAATTGGCTTCTCTCATGTCAGAGTAGGCTCTCCACATGTCCATAGCCCCTGAGAGTACAGCAATGGGAAACCAGGTGAACAGAAAGCACACCTCAGGGAAGACTCAGAGAACGACACATGTACCACTGATTCCAGATTTCTGCCTGTGGTCCCCCCTTGGATACCACAGACTGAGAACAAGTCTGCATCTGGTTGGTTTCTCCAGCTTTCTCTAGTGACAGTCGTGCGGGAGGGGCACAGCTGGGTTGTACCTGCGGGACCATGTGCTGCATCTCACTTAGGGCTCTATGTGAGCTGTTTAAAGGAGACAAAGGAGGTATCACAGCACAGGAATTCTCAACTTGAGCACCCCTGAAATGTGGGGCCAATTCCTTGTTGCTCAGGCCTGTCCTGATACTATAGGATGTAAGGCAGCATCCATGACCCCTCCCCACTGGATGTGGGCAACATAGTCCCTGAGGGTCACAACCAGAAATGTTCCCAGATGTTGCCTACTGTCCCCAGGGCCCCAGACTGCTCTCAGTTAGGAAGCACTGTTGTAAAATGAAGCCACATGTCATAAGGCCCAGGGGACTTGGGTAAGTGTGGAGGTGACATGCAGACAGATTCTGGGAAAGGCCCAGATATACAGCCCTTCTGCCCCGAGGCCAAGGAAATGTATACTTGCAGAATGAGTGCACATAACTGTGACCCAAGTCCCTCTGAGTGTCAGGGGCACCAATGACATCCTGAGAACTTTCTAAACAGGCTGTCCCAATGATATGGGCAGCTTGAGGAAGCAAGTGGTAGGGCTGTGCCCATCAGCCACACTTGGCTGCACCTCCTAATCACCTGGGAGCGACTGAAAGTCTGGTGACCAGGTCACAGCCAGGCCAGACCTCAGACTCCAGAGGGGGATCTCAGGCATCAGTAGTTTTCATGCTCTGCAGGCGATTCCCACAAGTAGCTGAGATCAGGAGCCACCCGGCTTTAGGAGGTGCTCTCAGACACACCTACCTGGCCAGCGCTCTGGCCTCATGCACAGTTGGGTCCCAAACTCTGCTCGGCCACCTGCTGACTGGCAGTGAGTCCCTGGACAATGGACTAGGCTGCTCTAAACCCCAGTTTTGTCCCCTTCAAGCGGGGGACGGTGCCTGCCTCCCTGAGGTGTTCTGAAGTCAAACTGAGTGGCCACATGTCCCAGCTTGACCAGAAGTGTCCCCGTTTGCCTAGAACTACCCCGGTGAGCACTGAGAGTGTCCTAGGAAGCGCCTCAGACCCAAACACACTAGGAGAGTTGGTCACCCTGAACTGCATGAAGGTGATGACTTCCTAGTGCAGGCTTGGTAGATGTGATTAGTTCCCCATTTTCCTTTCTTTATTTCTTTCTTTTTTGTTTGTTTGTTTGTTTGTTTGTTTTTCTGTCAAGGTAAAGGCTAGGAATGAGTAGGGAACAGGGACAGTCACTGAGGATAGGAAGCATAGTGACAGCTGAGCTGAAGGTGTCTCTAAATCGATCCAGTTAGTAAATGGAAAGATGGAAAGAGGAAGGAAGAAAAGGAGGAAAGGATGCATGAAGGGAGCGGGAAAGATGATGAAAAGTTTAACAGCTTTTATGGTACTTTATACAATTTGTCTGCGGGAAATTTTCTGCCTTTGCAAGACTTACTCTGTTTCTTCTAGTCAGACTTAAGCATCAGCTGAGATTGCTCTTTCTCTAGTAACTGATGGACCACATCCTGTGGTTTTCAATCTGCTTGATGAAAAGCTCCCCAAACACTGTCCACCTTCTACCACTTAGGGCAACAGACCTATGATAGTAGCTCCACCCCTTGCATGTGCTGGGGCAAGACCCAGTGGCCCATGGATGCCACCCACCTCCAGCGGCCTTACCTTGAGCAGCCTCGCCAAAGAATGAATACCATTGGCTGCTGACACCCAGGACCAAGGAGCAGAAGATGAGGCCCGTGAAAAGCTTCATGGTGCTGAAAGGAAGGAGAGGTCAGGGGCCAAGGACAGGGATTTGCATGTCACAGAGCCACTGCTGCTCATTCCAGTGCTTCTCAGGGAACTCTTAGGAGCCCACGTGGGGCAGGCCTTCACTCAGAGCCACAGCCCTCACTTCTGACCCCGTGAACCCTGACCACAGGGCTGGCTGAGAGTCCCCACGGTGGCATTGATGGAGGAAGTTGGGACCAGACTGTCCCCACCTGGAGCAGCCTATCATCCATCAGCAAGCATTTAGCACGTGCCACCCTGCCACCCCAGACCTCATACAGGACAAATACAAAACAGAATAATTGTTTTTGAAGGAATTTACGGGGTCTGTTCTTTTCCACAAATCAGTGCTTTGAAAGTTGGCCCTCACCTGAGTTCCAGTGGAGCAGAGCTGCTGGTCCCTGCCTGCTGGGAGAGGTGGCCGGGATTTATACTGTGCCCTCCCTGATGGGGACCCCATGGGGACACAAGAAAAGCCAGACTGCCCGGAAAGGTCCCTTCAGGTCATGGCCCCGAGAGATGTGCAAAGGAAAACTTACCGGACACCCGTGGTTTTCTTCATCCACAGGTCAACTTCCAGTTGTGCAACCGTGAGGAAGCAAGCTTGGCTGCTTCTGCCGGGTGGCCGGGGCTCAGGAGGAGGGCTCTGCTGTCAGAGTCAGAGGGGCTGTGGAGAGGAAGGGTGGGAGCACCAGGCTGGGGGTCCGAGGACTGCCGGCCGGTGTGTGGTTAGGGAAGACTCCTCCAGGCAGGGCCTTGCTGATCGTTTTCTCAGGATGGTCCCTGCCCGGCCAGATGGCCAATGTGCCAGACGTGACACCCTTTGAGTTCATGTGTAAGCTCTTGAGTTCCAAACTGATGGCTTGCCCCACCAAGTGTCTGGGTGCCCTGGAAGGTCCTTTACCAGTCTGTGTGCACATGCTAAGCTTTCAGCACTGAGGCACTGAAGAGCCCTTTTCAGCTGGCTGAGCCCATGAGGAAGTGTATTATCTCAGCAGGCTCCCTGGTTGGGAGTATCTAATTGGAGGGATTCTGCCTCCCCTCACTTCATCCTGGAGTCACCTCTTATTGGAAGTGAGAGTATAGTTCAATGGATTTGCAGCCCAGCTGGGGAAGTGCTGGGGTCCCAATCAGGGAAATTGGGGAGACCTCTGTGTCTTCTTACCTTGGGTGGGGTGTCATTGTCTGCTCCCTGTCAGATGAAAACGAAGTATAAGGGGGTCCACCTAGCTCTGCAGAGGCTAGCGGGAGAGTGAAGGAGTGAGAAATGAGTCAGTGTCCATTGGGGTGAGGTCACAATGGAATCAGATGATGGTGGACATGCTAGTTCCTGCTGTTTTCTTTCTTTCTTTCCAGTCCATCTTCATATCCTGAGGTCTACACATTAACCAACTACCACATAACTCCTAGAAATGGCAAGGCCAGGAGGGAAGAGGGAAAGGAGGACCAGATGGCTTCCAAGCAGAAAATGTTTGGCTCCATTCTGCATGATGGTGGTGTTGATCTCCTGCTCTCGGCCCACCTGCTACCATTCCCCCCTCCCCAAATACCACATCCAACCATATTAAACCCACTGGACATTGTATACGTTAGAATTTGGGGCTACACACACTTTGCCATACATTCTAGGCAGGATAACAGACTTTCCCCAGGGGGAATGAGCTCACAGGGAAAAGTTACCAGATATTCAATCAGCACAGCTGCTTTTGTAAAAGAAAGAAACCCAATTGAAAATTCAATTCTAGATCTCCCAGAAGTAATGGGTTGGAGAGATGCGAAGAAAACTTACAATACACTTAATAAATATCATCAAAAGGGGTAAAAGACAATATGAAGTAGGAAGTACAATTTTCAAGAAGAATCACATGGAAGACTCTAATTACAATATTTAATATAAACACCTCAGTAAAGGGATAAACAATGGATAAGTGCAACCAAAAAGTAAAGTAGTTGGCAGGTAGAACAAGTCTAAGCACTTTCCCCAGAGGCTACAGAAAAAGAGATGGAGATTATTAGGAATTTAAAATGACATAGAATAGAAATAGAATTGTCAATGTAAATCCCCAAGAAGGGAAAAAACTGAACAGAAAGGTACAAATAGTAGAAAAATTCATGGCTCAGAAAGAAAAGAATATATGATCATAACTTTGGTAATGTAGAAGAAATGAACATTTATGGGGCGCCTGGGAGGCTCAGTCGGTTAGTGTCCAACTCTTGATTTTGCCTCAGGTCATGATCTCACAGCTGTGGGACCGAGCCCCACGTCAGCCTCCCCGCTGAGCATGAAGCCTGCTTAAGATTCTCTCTCTCCCTCTGTCCCTCTGCCCCACTCACACACTCTCTCTTTATCTATGAAAGAAAGAAAGAAAGAAAGAAAGAAAGAAAGAAAGAAAGAAAGAAAGAAAGAAAGAAAGAAGTTAAAAAATAAATAAATAAACATTTTTAGGAAAATATAAATTCCAAAGTGGGTCTGAGAATAGAGAAGTTAAATAGAACTATATATATATATAATTTGTTTATATATATATATATATATATATACATATACACACACACACAATGAAAGCTGTCCCCTCAAATTCCCAAAATGGAGTTCGGTTTTACCAACACCTTTTATCAAATGTATACATGTCATAAACCTGCCACCCTTAAGTCTGCTTTCCCACTTCACCACTCCTTCCCTTGGAAGCCACAATAAAGGCTCTTGTCCACATTTCGAAACCTCACAACCTCTGCCTCTTGACCTTCCCTGGGCACATAACCCCACCCTGAGGCATGGGATGCCCCCTTCTTTTGGGATCTGTGACTAAAAACACTATCTTATTAACGGCAGTCATTCTCTGATCTGTTGGTCTTGCCATACCTGACTAATAATAAAATTTAGATTTTAAAAAGAGAAATCTTATTGTTACAAGTGTTTCATGCAGAAAAGCAAGCCCAAACTGTTGAAAATAGAAACAAAACAAAACCACAAAAACAAAAACCCCCTCTCCACCCCCACCCTCACATCATCCATGGGAGGGGAAGCATCTTGAGTCAGCCAGGCAGGAATACGAGTTGAGAAGCAGGGCAAGCTGTGGCCCCTGATGCATTGAAGAAAGCCAGGATTTGGAGCTCTTACATCTCACTGGGGATGGGATAGGGTGAAGGTCTGAGGAAACGCAAGATATGTCCTTCCCTGATGACTTCCCACCTGTTGAGGGATCCCACAGGATTGAGAAAACATTCCCACAGAGTTGGAAAAATAGGAAGTTCTTGTGGAAGCTGGGAAACAGATCTGGGACATTCTAGATCCAGTTGGGCTATAGGAAGCCATAGAGTCACTTTTTCACTGGTCTGGAAACCTTTCTCACTGATCCAAATGCCAGTAATTCCAGACTTTCCTCAAGTGTGCCAGGCTTGGAGGTGAACATGCCTGTATGCCAAACAAGGGCTCAAGTCATCATTATTCCCACTCTTTCTGAGTGGCACTTGCCCTGGCTTCCCTTCTAAGATCTGGTGGGGTTGGGTCTCCTTACTGTGAGCTAAGCCTGGTGAGGCTGGAGCTCCTGAATCAGACTGAAGGCTTCCAAAAAGTGGGGGGCCCTGCTCTGGGTAGTATGTCCATACAGCAGGTCTGACAAGAAGACACAGTATTGGAATTATGGAAAGAGATAGAGTGTCAAAAGAAATGTGGCAGAGAATCAAGTTTAATTAAAGGAAACTTGGAAGCCAAATCACTTGGGCCTGAGAGTTCTGTTTATTGAACCACTATGCTGTTAATCAGATCTCTGAAGGTAAGAGAAACCAAGGAATTCCAGAATATTAGGACACAGAGAGCTAAACACGCTCTCCTTATTTTCCTAACTAATCAAATTGAGACAGACTCTCAGGTAAATTTAAAAAATTGACTGCTCAATCGTAAGCGGTTAAGTTTCCCAAGTTGGCTGTGCCTGCCAATGAAAGTTAAAGGAGCCTCTTTTTGACATAACATTTTATTGTCCCTCTAGAATGAAAAATTTTCCCTTTCATATGATTGAAAAACATGCTTAATGATCTAGACAGTTGAATGGCCTAACTGGTACAAAAGGTTTAATGATGATTCGTGAGGTGTACTTGAAATTTTTTCATGTGCATTTTATTTGAAGTTTTAATTTTGATTCCAGTATAGTTAACCTGCAGTGTAAAATTAGTTTCAGGTGAATATAGTGATTCAACACTTGCATACAACACCCGCTGCTCATCATGACAAGTAAAGGCAAATACTATATGATTTCACACATGTGTGGAGTTTAAGAAACAAAGAATGAAAGGTAATTACTTGAAATTTAAACAAAACTTCAGAAAATTACCAGGACTTGAAAAACTTCTCCTCCCCAAATGAGTTCTTAGTTTCACCAACACTGTACAGCTCCATCAGAGATGCGGGGTTTTGAGTTTCTCTAATTCACTACTCCCTTTTGCAAATGTTTAAAAAGGAATAAAATATTTTATTTTATTAAAATGTTTTTAATGTTTATTTATTTTTTAAGGGGAGAGAGAGAAAGAGAGAGAGAGAGAGAGAGAGAGAGAGAGAGATAGCCTGAGTGGGAGAGGGGGAAGAGAAAGGGAGACACAGAATCTGAAGCAGGCTCCAGGCTCTGAGCTGTCAGCACAGAGCCCAACACGGGGCTTGAACTCATGAGCTGTGAGATCATGACCAGAGCTGAAGTCAGATGTTTAACTGCCTGAGCCACCCAGGGGCCCCGAGAATAAAATATTTAAAAACACAACGCAGTGGGATTTTTTTGTATGTTAACAATACCTGTTCCGGAATCTGACTTGCTGTTGCTGACAGCGGGCTGGTGACTGAATCCCACCATGTCCCACTGCATGCCCTTTTCCTTCATCCATTCCATCAGATAGAGACCAGGAGGCTTCAAAGGAACAAAGAGCCCCACCCCACAGTCCTTGGGGGAAAAGACCCAGACTTAAGTACAGACAGTTTTGAATCAGGGTTTCCTGGTGCCTCAAGAATGCAAATTGGAAACTCCAAGCTAGGAGGAAAGTGTTCTTGTCTTCAGGACGATGTGTGGGCTTTGTAAGATGGGACATACACCAAAAAGAATTGAGGTCACATCTTTAATTAAAGGGTTAGTTCTTTTACATTCCTGATGCTTAGCTTGTTAAGTAGAAGCGATGGAAGAGAAATCATTTCTCTTGTCCTCTCAGTTACAGTAATCAATAGCTCAGGAAATAACTAGAAAAGGGGCAGATCTTTTGACAGCTGAGCCATTTATGATTTATTAATTTTGAGGAAGGCACAATGGGAATCCTCAGGAATTGGAGCCCAAGGTTCATTGTTCTTTGAGGGAGACAAAAATCTTATGAGGATTAGCGACACCTTGCCTCTCTTTTCTTCCATTATACTTTCTGTACCCATAGCCTTTCCCATTTATTTATTGGAATCTTATTGATTTAACCATTACATAAGTATGAACCTTCTCTCTATGCATATATAATTATTCTTCTCCCTTGTCACATGATTCATGTTCACAACGGCATAGCCTGGATCTGGTTATTTCTCGTTCCCACACTTAACCCCTAATGTGTGCCCAATAACTAATCTAGTGATTGTTGCATAGAAGGCACACAGTGAATAATAAATGAATATATGAACACCATGTTATCATAGGGAATTTTGAAAACTTAGAATAACAGGAACAAGACCCACTACCTAGAAATGTGGAGACTGTCTGATGTGCAACTTCCTAGGTTGTATGCCACAGTGGGAAAACGTCCTTGAACATTTGAAAAATGGAATTGTATTCTACTGCACTCTTTTTCTTTGAAGACATTATCTGTGCTTCTCCAAGTCATCAAATGCTCTTCCACAATGAATATATGGCAGACCAGAAACCATACTAGGTCTGTCTGAATCCAAGGCTTGTCTCTTGACTTCTATGCCATGCTGCCTCCAAGTCCAGCTGGTTGGGATTTAGGATCTGTGATGGGAACTCAGTGTCACAATCTGTACTGGAAAGGTATTCTGGTGTTTTGTAATGGAACATTCTGTTAAAGATAAGCATGGAATAATGGAATGGGGCAAAGTCCAGATTTCTACTACCAGAAGCTGAGATTGCTATTTCCGATGGCATTCTCCCAAACCAAATCATCCAACCTAGAATTACCATAAACCACCTCTCATATTTTTAAGGGGTGTACATTTTCCCAGAAAACATTTGCTAAGTTATGGAGGCAAGGAGCTAGA